GGGTTGCCCCCGTCCCGGACCGGGACCGGCAACGGGATCACAAGCCTCGGTGTTGCTCCCGCGCCTCGCTCTGAGCGGGAGCCGGTCTGTATGTGGGATCCGAACCCTCGGACGGGAGCGCCGCCGCGCTTCCCAAGCGGCGCACTATCCAGTGCGCCACCGGGCCGACCCTGAAAACATTTTTTTTATTTAGAACATTTCATTAGGGGACCATGAGTGCTTAGGTACATATTACATAAGAAAGAGATCCCCAAACATTTTGTGAGGAGAAGCTATTATTTAGTTCCCCCAAAGTCTTGAGATCACCAGAAACAGAATGAAGACGACAACCCAGCTGAGCATATGTGTTTGTGTGTGTGTGTGTGTGCGCATGTGCGAGTGCGCATTTGTATTAAGGAAATGAGACTTGGTAACTGCAAAGTAGCTAAGTGGGGTCCAGAAGGGGTCACCACTGCCTTTTTAGCTGTCTTACACAAAAGGAGAGGAGAAGGAACGAGATTTGTGGGCAGTGGACAATCCAGAGAACTATCAGGAAAGTCCACAAGATCTGCTGATGGACTCTTTTATGCTGACCAGGGATCTCAGTACCATATGAATACTAATAAGAGGTCATGCAGAGTTTTAACGTTCAACTCCGTTTTTTCCCAAGACAAAAATTTACACATTTAAGTACAGTCAAATTCCAATAAGAATATAAGTTTTATTTGGAATACTGGGGAAATATAAATGCATACATCGGGAGCTATTTTTTTTCCTTATACCATGTGCATCTTATATATTAAATATCTCCTTTCTGAGTGTCAAAAATTATGCAGAAAATGATCGGAGACAAAATGAAACCTGTATTAGTCCATTTCTGTTGCTTATAACAGAATACCTGAAACTGGGTAATTTACAAAGAAATATAATTTATTTCTTACAGTTCAGAGGCTGGAAGTCCACAGTTCATGGGACACATCTGGTGAGGGCCTTCTCAGTTGTGACTCTCTTAGAGCAACGCAGGGTATCACATGGTGACAATGGACTGAGCAAGAGCTAACCTGCTCATTCTCCTTATAAAGCCATCAGAACCACACCCATGACCGACCACCCATTAAATCATCAACC